CCTGCTGACTGCAGTGGTGTAGGACTAGATGACCCTGAAAGGTCCTTTCCAACCCAAACCTATCTATGATTCTATATAAGTGTTTATGGTACATTATGAGACAGACTCTTAACATATGTTCCCCCAGCGACCTACAACCCCTCCCAATTCTCCCCCAGTTTTCCTCTCAATCTCCTATTATTCCCAACTCCTATTCCCCAAGTCTTGTTGTGGCTCTGCTCCTGCATGACGCTTGTCCATGTCTGCTTCTGTCCATCAAAATTATGACCACTAAGTCTTGTTTTTCAGCCTACACTAAACCTCATTACCTCATACTCACTACTGACTAGGAATAAAAAGAAACAGTAACACCCACAACTGTATCTGAAACTTAAGCCCTGGGCAGGATTACTTGTAGCCACTGGCTGCTGTTGCTGTTACTGTTACAGTATAGTATAAAATTGTTGCTGCCTGTTAATGGCCAAAACGAGGGCTGAAGACCATGTTCCCCCTCTAACCCAAATACTCACTCAGTGCAGCTCAGGAAAAAATAAACCATCTTTCATAAATGTTTTTGCACTTAATCCAAGTCTCTGTATATCACTAAATGATCCCCGCAGTACTTAAAACTTTTCTCCTGACAGTCTTTTCTTGCTCTAGATCTTAAAAATATTTCAATTTTTTTGCCTTTTGACTAAAAACTAATGCTCGTATCTGTAGAGGGCAGTGTGATCTCAGGAATGCTGAACAGAATAATATAATTATTTCTTGTATAGTTTAATTTCCTAGCACCTACTTGTTGGCAATGGAAGTAATCTGAGAAAAACATATTTTAATGTGAAGAAAATCCATGAAAAATTATTCAAACTCTAGTTATGATTTCAGGATCCATGTGAAAAAGTTATTGTTATGAGCAGCAAAAAAATGTCAGAACAAATATTTTGACTTTTAATTTCTGTTGTTATCTATTAGAGGGCATTCTTCTAGGAAATAAGGCACCAGTTTCCTAATATTTGCCTTGATTTCTAAGGCAGAAAACACTTTCAAACCATCACCTATAGCTAACGGGCTAAGTTTGTTTATAGACCTATTTTTGAACAAGATATGTGTCATAACCATGAATTAGCATATATCAATGAAAATATATTAGTGTTTATCAAATTCAGCATAATTAAAAAACACTGGGAAAAAATACATTTACTAAAATGTTCTGTATCGTTTTAGTACAAGTAGACCAGGTTTGTTTTCCCCATGCTCTTTTAAAGACAATGGGAAACATAATTTAATCCTTGTTCCCAGTAGAATTTCTGAAAATTGCAGAAACATTTTTGTTCAAGTTTTGTATCATCTTATTTTACAAAATTTGCATTTGAAAGTCAACAGTGATCCTTTAAACGAGAATAGTGGCACCTATAATGATGTTTGTGATGGGAGTTTTACCACACAGGCAAACTTTCTGTCAAAAAGGCACTGAAGAACAAGATGTTTCCTATTGTTTATGGCCTTTGTGACTATAACCAAGTCTTTCACAATAATTTTATGATATTTGAAACAATAAAACATCATAATGTCATCAAGAAATATATAATCACCATATAGATTGCTTTTATTAGTGGTGATCTTCTGTGACGACAGGAGAAATTAAACTGATTTTTCTTTTCATTATAATTCTTTTTGAAGTACATTTCTAAGCTTTGAACTGAGAAGAAAAACTCCAAAATGCTACTTGTGTCCACGTTATGGGCTCAGGATTCAAAAATGAAGATGATCCAGTGTTATTTAATCGACCTGACTTTAAAGGCAGGCTCAGTGTGTGATTGGATTTGATTTGATTCACACAGGACCTGGAGCCAGAGGCCAGGAGCAGCACACAACATCCCAGTGAGACAGGCTGAACTGTGGGTCAGGACACCACAGGTGAGCCTGCAGCTGCTCCTGGGGGAGCTGTAATGCACAAGAAGTACCCCTGATGCTGCAAGAAGTGTCACCTGCTCCATAACCTGCACTGTAGTCACTCTGAAGGGCTGGAAGAGAAAGCTTTGTTCTCTTTATACTTTACACCAAGTGAATCCAGGATGATCATCCTATAAACTCTAGAAGCCCTGGGAAGTCAATCCATCATTATTCATCAAACAGCATGAACTGAATGGAGTATTTATGCTCTGGGAGACTGGGACACTAATGTTCAGCCCATGTGGACTGCTTTTGTGGAAGATGCATCCATATTATGAGAAGCTTTTAGTCCATCAAACAGCAAACTGGGAGAAGCACATGACATTTACAAGCACAGCTCTGTGTGAAGCCAGCACAGCAACACCTGCCTGATCTGCAGCTACTGGATACACACATGGATATCATGAACTGTTTGGAAATAAGAAAGGGAACATGTTCTAAAGACCAAGCTTTGTCCCAGATGGTAGCTTCAGTGTGAGTCTGAGGGATGGAAAGGCCACTTGCTACTGACGTGCATCTACTATAACAGTTTCCATAAATACTGAAATAAGGAAGCAGAGCTTGGTGAGTAGTTTTTTCCCTATTGTTATTCCCTTGGCATTTTCTCAACTCATTTTGGTGTGTTGTAATATCAAAGCACAGAAGCAGAACAACTGAGTTCACAATGAAATCATTCGAGGGGCATAAAGTTTTAAAGGATGTTTGAGATCCATTAAGAAAATGCTCAGCATAAACAAAGTCTGGAGCAAAGTGAAGCTAAGTGTTTTACTTTCAGATCCAGTAGCCAGGATCTCTGCTGTGTGCACTGCAGACCCTAAATGCATTTCTCAGTAAGGACTTTAACATCAGCTCGGCTCTACCACAGTTCATCCTCTTCAGTGGGTCTACAGAAAGGCTCAGACAGCTGGAGATGTAAAGTATTATTTATGCCCTTTTTTTGATTAATTTATTTCTCCTTTGGAGTGTCTGGCAATAAAGTTTAAGCCCTAAAGCAATCCAGAGTTCTCTCTGTACTCAAGCTGACAGGTAACATGCTACTGCTAGGAAAAAAATATGCAAAGCTTAAAGGTTTCCAGTGTATTTAAATTTACACCAAAGTTTTCCTTCTATCTATTCCTCTGGGCTCCTAGGCTTTTACCTATACTAGCAAAATTCACAGGATTAAAATGTGCATACACCTATCACAGTACTGAATGATTAAATCTTATATTACCTGCTGAAATTTCAAGGCTTTTTTAAACTGTTCTTGACCATAATATTGCAGCTACTCATAGCTGTTAGATTTGAGTTGTCAGCTCAGGTTTATGAGTGTGGGCTTCAGCCAGCACTAAAAAAACACAAAGTTACATGAAATTTTTGCCAGGTATTTTACCCAAATAAATTTCAGGCACTCAAAAGTCATTGTCTGAGAGGTGCAGGCTTGTTCTGTCAAACCAGCATTTTACCTCAATTGAAATTAAAACCCAGGAAATTGATAGTTCATTCTGAAGATTATCCTCATGTCTTAATTATGCAAAATTCTCAACTGTCATTTTTTCCATAAATTTACTACCCGCTTTCCTGCCTCCTTTACAACTACTATAAATATTAAGATTAACCAGTTGTAAACACCTCTGACATGATAAAAATATTTAGAAAGTGGAGTACAGATGGAAATTACTATACAACCACTGAAAGGGATTAATTACATTAACAAATACACATGAGAGTGTCTGCTACTTAAGCTTTTAAACGACATCTGGTATTTACTGTTGCATAATGACCAGCTAAGACAACCCCTGTCCTCTGCATAGAAGATATGGGCTGAAGTGACTACAGTCATTATGAGGGATGGTTGGTAGTGCTGCACTGCCACACAGGAACGTGGAAGGAACATCATTTTCAGAGATCTGCAGCTCCTCGGCTTGATGGATGTCAGTAATAATCCAAAATAAATTCTAATGCAGAAGCATTAGTTTGTAGCACAGAAACTGCATGTGAAGGCTCCACCAAGTACATATCTCCACTGTGACATAACTTTCCTACAGGGCATCTCACATCCTTAACTCAGTGCTCTGTTGCCTACTGAGGAAGAAAAAATAAGCACCAGTGCCAGGATATTAAGAAATTAATGGGCTTTCATTAAGATGATTGTAATAAACACTCTCTATAGCAAATCTTCAAAATACTAATTGAATGGGATTCCTAATTCTTTGCAGCTACTGGCCCAGGTACCCCATACTTCAGCTGGATGGGGGAAGACAATGAACTTCTGTAAAATATTTTTCTGAAATTCATTCCTACAGCATGAACTGTGGATGCATTTACACACCAGTCACATGTGAAGTGTGAATGCACCTGACAGATCAGTCCCAGAGTGCGTTGCCTTCACAGGTTTTCCAGAGGAAGACAAAGCCAGCAGAAGACCCACAAAACTTTTGCAACAGGGAAGCACTGTAGGAGAACAAGGAAATGTTTTCTTTCCACCAGAAGGCTTAGTACCAGTAAGAGAAAAGGAACAACAGAGGATACCCTTTGGAGAAGTTCAAGAGAGTGAGAAAGTGGCCTTAAGGAAGGGCACCATGCAAAAAAGCAGCTTGGTCATCTTTGCCAGTAATTCCTTAAAAAAAAAAAAAAAAAAAAAAGAGCCACTACCCTTCCCAAAGGTACTGGCTGTTCTGCACCCTCTGCCAGAGGACAGGGGAGGTGGCAGCAGATGGGATCATAGAATCATAAAAACGTGTTGGCTGCAAAAGACTTTTAAGATCACCAAGCCAAACCACTAACCCAGCACTACCGAGTCCACCACTAAACCATGTCCCTCAGCACCACAACTCCACAGCTATTCAATCACTCCAGGAATGGAGACTCCACCAGTGTCCTGGGAAGCCTGGGCCAGGCCTTGACAACCCTTTCAGGGAAGACTTTTTCCTCATGTCCAAGCTAAACCTCCCCTGGTGCAACTTGAGGCTATCTCCTGTTGTCCTGTTGCTTTTTCCTTAGGAGAAGAGACCACGCCCCACCTCACTCCAACCTCCTTTCAGGAAGTTGTCAAGAGTGAGAAGGTCTCCCCTGAGCCTCCTCTGCTCCGGGCTAAACTACTCCAGGTCCCTCAGCTACCCCTCGTAAGACTTGTGCTCTAGGCCCTTCACCAGCCTTGTTGCCCTTCTCTGGACACACCCCAGGCCATCAGTGTCCTTCTTGGAGTGAGGGGCCCAAAACTGAACCCCGTATTCAAGGTTCAGCCTCACCAGTGCCAAGTGCAGTGGGACAATCACAGCGTGGTGCCCTCTGAGACACACGGTCACCTCACAGCCTCTGCTGCTGATCAATACTCTCAACTGCCACTACGTTCTTCAGCCTTCAGGTACATGCTGTTGTAAGCCTCATAGCTGGATGTCACCACAGTGAGAACTTGCTGTTTCTGGATTTACTACTGAATATGTAGCAACACAGGCTTCTGCACACTAACCTGCAACTGCTGCATCTAGTTCATCTTCCTCCACGGACTCCTGTGTAAGGAGGTCTGCCAGAGGAGAGAGTGGGTAACAGCTGTTGAGGTTCAGTCCCAGCATGAAGTTGTGCACTTTCCCAGCACGCCCTTCCCTGGTATTGAAAAGGGCACTGTCACCCACCAAAGCCATCAGCATTCGCTGCACCCAGCTTTCTTGGCTGCTGTTCTGATACTCCTGCTGTGCCTCAGCATTTTCAGTGCCTGAAGAGGAAAACAAAAATAAACAATGGTGAGACAGTCAATGTACAAAATAAGAAACCATAATTTATGCGTCTGTTAAGATAAAGGACCTGGATGAAGGACGTTTGCTGCAAGAATTTCAGAGGAATGGAGAGAAACCATCCTCTTAACTTTGCAGGCTAATGAAAATTTTCCTCTGCAGTATAGCACTGTGGATATGTCCACCAGGAAAATAGATTGGGAATGTGTTAGATGACCTGAACCAGACTTAATTAAATTGTCTGGATGGAAAGGGCAATAAGCATATGGCTTTATCTGTGCTAGCACCCAGAATGTAAACTCTCCCGGGCACAGGGGACAGACTTCAGTCACCAAGATCTGTATTCTGTCACAAAATCCTATGATGGTTTGGGTTGGAAGGGACCTTTCAAGATCAGCTAGTCCAACCTCCCCTGCAGTGAGCAGAGACTTCTGCAACTACAGCAGGTTCCTCAGAGCCCCAGCCAACCTGACCTGGAATGGTTCCAGGGATGGGGCATCTACCACCTCTCTGGGCAACCTGGGCCAGTGTCTCACCACCCTCAGTGTTAAAAATGTCTTCTTTATATCTAGGGGAATCTCCCATCTTTTAGCTTAAAACCATCAGCCCTTGTCCTGTCACAACAGGCCCTGATAAAAAAAATAAATCTGTCCTCATCTTTCTTATAAGTCGCCTTGAAGTACTGAAAGGCAACAAATAAGGGTCTCCCCAGAGCCTTCTCTTCTCCAGGCTGAACAACCCCAGCTCTCTCAGCCTGGCCTCACAGCAGAGGGGTTCCAGCCCTCGGATCAGCCTGATCTATGTGGACCTAAATTCATCTGGATGTGTACTGACACCCTCCTCCATCCTTTGCTGATTGCTAGAGACCCAGCTTTTATTAAGAAGGCCAAGCTAGTCTGCATAAAAGAGAATGTTATAGCATGGAACTCTAAAATATCTGAAAACATCCTTACAGCAAACTGTAGACTACAATTAATATCTGGTTTTAATTAACTAAAGAGTACAATGAAATGTCCAGACTTAGATGTCTATAGCTAGATGTCACAATGAAAATGACTTGCACTGGTGCCATCTTGCATTCATAAACTGTCAAAACTTGACTTTTTGGAGTGTTTTGTATAAGAAGACAATCCAGACTGAAGCTTGATACTTTAAATCCAGCACTGAAATGTGCCTTTTAAATACAGGCTTCAAAAGAGCTGATTTTTATATAAGTAGATATAAAACAACCATCGAGCATCACGAAGTTTAGAGGTTCCACTTCTGTACAATAACACTCTATAGAAGGGAGAGGGATTACTAAGTGTTTAGAAATCACCGATCTGTAGGTTTTTCCCTATGGCTACAGCCCATGAGAGAAATGTCGTGTTTTGTGCTGGCTATAGTGCTTAAACAGGAAATCTGCACACCAACAGAGAATGTGCTGTCACCCTCTCCCTATTATTTTACACATCAGGGGAACTGAAGGAGTAATTTTTTAACTGACATAATGACATAATTCACTGTCTCACTCCACAAGATTTTCTTTTCTTCCTGTAGAACCTAAAATTACGAAGAGCTGCATTCCAATCTTTGCGTTCATTGTTAAAACATAATCAATTTCTTCAGGTGAAAAACACTGTTGTTCCCAAAGGTATCATCAAATTATTAGGACACGACTGAGACCCCGACTAAAATCACAGAAATCCCCAGGTTGCTCAGGTACTGAAAGATAATTTTCAGTAGGCTCTTTTCTTCCCACTGCCAGATGTTCTCCTTGTGGATGTGACTCTTCTGGGAACCTGGATCTGGGCATTGTTTAACACATTGTGCGCACTAGGGGTTTCCTGTATCAAATGTCATCTGTAAAGGAGCTAGAAGACATCTGTGAATGCTGAAAACACAAACTAAACCATTCTCAGGTATATATTTGATCAAGGAACCCTCGAAAACAAGAGAGTGTTAGTTTGCTGGGCTGGTAACAATTTGGACACTCCCCTGAGCTTAGTAGCTTGTTTGCAACAAACTTCTGGAGTTCACTGGCTCAGCTAGCCCAATTTTTATGTATGTGAAACTGCAGACCTCTGTGAAGTCCTGTTGGGCTGACACCAAGACTGAAGGTGTGTGAGAGAATCATCTGATCATCAGCTTGAGCAGGAGGTTCAAAGGCCTCTTGTTCAAGATTTCTCTACTCTGCTGAGCCACTGGCTCCTTTAAGATCCCTGGGCTAAGCAGCCAAGTTTTACCATTGCTATAAATGAAAGCAGAGCTCTAGTTCTAACAGACCATTGGTAAGACTAAGGAAAATCAGCTATGGCTAATTACCCACATCCACAAAATTGATCATGCTACCTGAAAGCTGATGAAAAAAGTAAACTATGAAATAAAATGTGAGAATTTCCTTACCTTTTGGATGCTGTGACTCATCTTCACTGTCTGAACTGTCATTGCTTACAAGGTGCTTTAGCCTAATATTTTCTGTTGAAAGAAATATAAAATTACTTTAAACTGATACAGTTTAATTGTCAGAACAGCTAAGAATTTCAAAACAATTTAAGCCATAAAACTATCATAGTCTTCATAATAGAAAATGCAGCTGAAGAGATTTGATCTGCTGTGGACATCTCTATGTTCAGCATATGGTCAGAATATATTTCCTTCAGCCTCAAATTTTTGCAAAGGTCCTGCACTAAGCAATTAACCAAAAGGACTAGAAAACAACATGTAATCCTAAAGCAGTACATACCACTCACCTATGCACCACATATCTAACACATTTAATTCACCTTGATTAAAATTTAGATGTATACCTTCTGTCCCCTGAATAGCTCCTAGTGAACCAGGAAGACAACATTAATTTATGTTAAATACCTGCTGGTTTTTTTTTAAAGACGAAAGCTCAACCTCAAACATAGATATATAAGAATACTCTTAAAAATAGTCACGTAGAACAAAAGATGGTTATGAAAAGTTCTGCTGGAGTACATGTGAAGGCCAATGAAGGTACACAGGTAGAAAAAACAATGGATTTCATCTCATAAAAGTCATAGAAATAAAAAACAGAAATGAGTGAACTCCTCTGGCAAAAAATCTGCATTCTTATATGGTTAGCAGCTTTGTTTCCAAAACAACCACAGTCATTGCTCATTGCAGTCTCAAGGTATTATTTCCAGCTCAGAATGAATACTGAATAAGCAACACATTCTACTCCTCACGTAAGGTTTGCAGCAGAAGTGAATTCATGTGAGAATGAATTACAGGCTGACAACATTACTGTCACTAATTATGGAGGGAAACCTTTCTGGAAATACAGTTGATTTGCAATGTTTTATGAGCAGACTCATCTTGGAAGCTCATATCCTACAGAGACTGGAAAAGAAAATAAAATCACTAGCCCTCTTCCCCTGACCTCAGCAGCAGCTAACAATGACAGCAATTAAAGTTACTTGGACTCCACATTTTTAAAACTACTGCCAGCAGAGTGCCATCCTTCCACAGAGTGAGAGTGCACTGAATCTTCCTAGTGATTGTTTTGCACAGTAGAATAATTATTTACTAATATTACCTAATTCTTCTTCCATGGTGGGACCTTTATTTTGAGAATTGGAGACACCCAGCACTCTGTTAAATAATATAGAAAATGCACTGCCCCAGACACCTGAAAGAGAAAAAGTGAACAATGAATGGAGGCTACTAAAGGAAAAAACCCTCCACATATACTGCACTATTGAAGCAGTTGCTGCTCTCTAAACACACCTCTGATTTTCAAACATGCTAAGTCATAAGCTCAGATGCACATATCAGAAACAAAACTCTGGGGAATGCCAAACCATGTCTGCAAAGTCTTTCAAAAGGATGTCTTCAACAACTTGAGAACCCTACTTCTCAACTCACACTTTGTGTGATTGCCTTTACAAGCCCTTGTCCACGAACTACTGAAATCAGTTCTATTTCAAATTCTCTTTCCATCAGATACTCACCCATCAAGAAATGTAAGGGATTTTCATTATATTTCTTCACCACTGTCCCCATAAAAAACTTGCTCCCAAACAGATCAGGAGACATAAAGGTGCCATACTTTGCCATACCGATCTCATAAGGACTGAATTCCACCCAGTCTGCAAAACAAGAAACAAAACTCTGCTTAGTTATCAATCTCTGCCTGAATAGAAACAGAGCATGAAAATATATAAACATATGAAACTTCCGCCCAAGCAAAGAAACTTCAGTTAAATGGGAAGCTAAATAACCAACAGGAAGAGGTTGTTAGAACTCAACATTTTTATTTTAAATGAAGGACAGTCTAAAGTCTCAGCAGAGAAGGAATTCTCATTCTCATTCCCTCTTACCACAACAATCTTTGATGAAAAAAATATGAGGTTGTAAAAACAGAAGTATAATAGCAGCAATCACGAATGAGAAAAACAAAGTGACATCTGTTTTTCATCTTATGTTTCATTATGATTCCCTGTCATGTGAACTGCAACGTGGGTCTCAGTTCCAAGTTTCTTTTCTTTCTCTGTCATCCTACCAAAAATGTGGAAGGCAGTGACAAATACGGTAGAAAAATTACTAATATCATAAAAGTGGTGAAATATTCTAGGAGAGGCATTTGGATCCTACCGAAACCTAAAGTTTCTAGTAAAATCCAGTGTGAAGAGGCAAAGCTGAGAGGCTGCTGAGAAACCTAATACCAAATGCTGAACATATTTTTAAAAGTATAGGTCATTTTATTGAATAGAGAGCTCAAAAACATGGAATAAAATGTTCAGATGCATTTTTCTGAGCTTAGCAAAAAATTTCAGACGTGAGTTGCGCTATGTGATGTATACATTTTGGAAAATGGATTTTAGCTAATTTTGAAAAATTTTCTTTGATAGTAGTAGAGCTGCTTACATTAGAGAATTCATTTTGAAATGGGAGCAATAACAAACAAAAACCACCCTACGTCTTGAGCATTTCACCTTTTCATCTATTTCACCTTCCCTGTTTTTAGTAGAGTTTGATTTGACTGCTTCTGTAAACAAGTCAGAAACAATTCTGAAATAGAAAGGCAAAAGAAACAGCTTTGAAAAATCCCCACAAGTCACAGGATGCCATCCACTCCTCAAGATACTCAGTGTTTCTGTTGAAACCTTAAGCTTAAGGCTAACCACTCATCCTGAAAATGAAAGATTTAATCATGTGTGCTATGTGTTTCATTTCATGGGGCAATGCTTATCTACACTAATGTCAAATACAACATCCTATTTTCCAAATAAACCACCCACAAATCTTCACATTTATTGGAGCACAAGGAAATTCCTTTGAGGACCTAGCCCAGGAATTTAATGGTATTTTCCCTTTAGACACATAAACAGGAATTGGCAAGTGTATTTCCACAATCATGTTGACAGTGAAACTGAGAATTAATTTCATCTGTCAGAGTCCACTTTCACTTTGTATTTGAGTGGAAGAAGACGTTTCTCAAACTACAGATCCTGCTTAGGAAGGTAAGATTTCTGCCCTAATATCAGAAGGCCACAAGATTAGCTTCTGCCACTCCAGAAGCTTCTTGAGACAGTGGCCACTTAAATGAGTAGGATTTGAATGACCCAAGAGACAAGATGTCTATAACAAGAGAAATACTTTGTGTTAATATCCCATTAAACCAGACTAGTTTCTTGGCGGTGGCTTAATCCAAAATGTGCTAAAGTCAAACCACCCAGCTGTGTTCACAACATTTTGGGTGTGGCCCCGATGCAAGTCAGGGCCACATAACTCTACACTACATATCAGCTAAAGATGCAACAGATTCGTCCTGTTTTCAGGAAGGAGGACTAGGAGGTAATATTTTGCCAACGTTAAGCATTTGGCAGATTTGGGATTGAGCACATAAATGCATGGACTGCACTAAAGCACTGACAGCAGATTCACCTTGCAGCCCATTTTTTATGGCAGAATGTCTACTTTCCTCCTTAGGTAAATGAAACCTTTTTGTTTGAAAAGAAAATGCTTTTGATGAGATTCTATTTTCTAAGAAAATATTTTTGGGTCACTTATCTATCATTTAAAAAAAAATGTTCTTCAATAATTAAATTAATAATGGCCTTCTCTAAGGAATACCAGCAGCACCTGAAGGTGAGTCTAATTTCTCCAGCCTTACCAATTCGGTTTAGAAAAGATATTGCCACTGCCAAAGGAGCTTGGTTTTGCTTTCCTGAGGCTATCATCTGTATCATTATATAGGATGTGAGATCTTGATTGTTTCTCTGGTAAGCTTATTTTTCTCCTTTTAGAACTCAACAGCTATTCTGGATGTGAAATAGATAGTAAGTTTTGAACAGAACTATTTACACTTTCTTGTTTACTAGCCTATAGATGCAGGTGAGATCTCTCATGTTCTTTCATGTTGAAATGCATTCATCCTATCAAATCACATTCCTTCCAGGAGCAATGGTGCAAGACTTCCTGCAGCTGCTAACAGCTTTCATGGCCCCAGGCTCTGCATGTTTTCCTTCCCAGCTGGCACTGGCCATGCCCAGAACTGCAATAATCATTTTAACTGAACTTAATTACAATGATTTAGCTAAAGACAGCTATCTTTTTATTTATTTATCTATTTATATATTGTTTTGAACCCTTCACTCCAAGAAGGACATTGAGGGGCTGGAGCGTATCCAGAGAAGTACAACGAAGCTGGAGGAACTGGAGCACAAGTCTTGTGAAGAACAGCTGAGGGACCTGGGGTTGTTCAGCCTTGATAAAAGGAGGCTCAGGGGAGACCTTCTTGCTCTTGACAACTCCTTGAAAGGAGGTTGTACCGAGGTGGGGGTTGGTCTCTTCTCCCAAGGAAGATGTGATAGGACAAGAGGAAAGGGCCTCAAGTTGCACCAGGGGAGGTTTAGGTTGGATATTAGGAAAAATGTCTTCCCCAAAAGGTTTCTCAAGCCCTGGGCCAGGCTGCCCAGGGCAGTGGTGGAGTCCTCATCCCCGGAGGGATCAATAAGCTTTGCAGATGTGGTGCTGAGGGACATGGTTTAGTGGTGCCCTGGCAGTGCTGGGTTAAGGGTTGGACTCAATGATCTTAAAGGTCTTAAAACTGGTCCAGCACTTAATAGTTCACAGCAATTTCAGGAGGTTGTTATGGTGTTAAGACTTATTTTCAGGTTAAAAAAAACCAATTAATGGTTACAAAATGTTCTACAAGTAAGTCTCCAAACCTAAAAATGATAGAGAAATAAAAGGCCATTGACCTAAAATACAGTCTGTTTGCCTCTACATGGACAGGAAAAGATGCATCTTAGAAGCCAAAAGAAGGCTCAGTTTCATGAGAAATAGGTCCATTTGGTGCTTGTTCTCCTCAGCACTGTAACCCTGGTGGAAATACTGCACCAATCAAATAGGTATCCACCTACCTCAGTATGTCATCACTTATCCCTGAGTAACTTTCTTGTTATTGGAGTCTACCGTCAGACTCAGAGAAGCTGCTGAAATCACATGTGTCTGATTTCCCAGCTGCCTTTTTAAGCTCACCAGAACAATCCTCAGGATGTGCCTGTTTGGTGTATTCTGCAACATCACGATTTCCTGTTCTTTTTATACATTAAAATCTCCCTGTGCTCAGTTCATAACAATGCAAATTTTGTTAAGCCCTGAGGAATGTTTCATATCATGTCAAATTCCTTCCTAATCCTTGCCATAAGATGAATAATTTCAAGGCATACCATGCTGCAGGATAAAATTATGCAAGTATTAAAAGTATTTAATACAAGTATTGAAAAAATAGGCTTTTTTGTCAGCCATGCCCTTCCCTCTTCTTTTCGCAAGTGACTCAGTACACGGATTGAAATCATACCTGCAAACATAAGCTCTGAGACATCTGGCTTGACATGGAGACATGTAAAGAGTGGGAGAGCGCATTGTGCATTATCAATTTTCTCCTTCATGTTGCTCAAAGTCGTGTCCATTCTCTGCATGAAAAGGAAGAGATTATGTCCCAATGGATCATAAAAAGGCCTGCTGGTATCTGAGAGAAAACTCAATTCTCTGAAATTCTCACAGAGATTGGACAAACTCAGTTAACTCCAAGAGAAACAGAACAGAACTTGTAAAAGGAAGTAATCTGCTTGAATACTTTTTAACTGCACAATTCAGGAAGGAAGGAAAGCTGCATTGCCTGGTTTTCAGTACTCTGAAGTGTTTAAAACCTAATGGCAAAGTAAACTCATGAAAGATCTATTTGTTCAAAACACATTTGTGAATCTGTTAACACATTTCAATCTCACCATACAATCAAATCCAGATTCTGCTCGCCTGACTCACTTGAACTTGATGTCTGTGTGCCTGATACAGCCAGGATTTTTTCAATAAAATACAATAATATGAAGCCTTCATATTGGCTCATTTCTCAGAGAAACAAGTGAAAATAAAGATGTGGATCATGCACCTTGAAACTGATACTTTGTTAAGCAAATGCCGCTTTTCTTATAGCCAAATGTGTACAGAGGTTACACCACTTTGTAATTTTTTATTGGCACTGCTTGAGAGGTAACATTAATGGATGACAGACAATAATAAGAGCCTGCTAAAAGTAATCAGCAGTCGAGTTCATTTCTGCTGCACATGAATGCATGATGTTTTCCCAGCTCTTAAGAAATGAATACCACTTAGAAACATGTCCTAGAGCAAAGAAAGCATTTGAGGAGTTTCTCACACCATATCTGCTCAACTATAAATATTCCTGTTGGTAAACACGCTTTGTAACATGGTACTGAGGTCATTTGAAAAAAAAACATAGTAACAGCAGTTATTACACAATAGTTTCACAACTCTGATAAAAAAAATGAACTCACATTATGGATAAGTGTTTCACCTATTAGCATTCCAAAGATATCTGTGAAGGTGACAGGCTGGCCTGAGCTTTTCTTATTCCACAGTGCTTCAATGTAGCGTTTGACTTTCTGAGGAGTGAGCAGCAGAAGTGGGTTGTGACTCACAGAATTCATCAATTCTTGATTAATTTCCTTTGGTCCCTTTTCTGGAAAATCTGGGTGTGAATACAAAGTTGACATGTACCTGTAATGGAAAATATGGTCTGTAAGTATCAGAGGCTGGTCCAGTTTCACCTTCCTGAAAGGTACAATAAGCTCATAAATAATTTGATACAATTGCTGATTAAACCAGATTAATTTACTTACCATTTATAAACTGTCATTTCCTTTTTCTCAAGGCAGAGAAAGCTAAACAATTTGTTCTAAATGGAAGCATATAATTGAATCTTCAACATACATTTCAATAATGTGTATGATGTAAAAGACTAAAGTCTCTTCATTTATATCTTTAAGGGATAATGGACAGAATCATCCCAAGCTGAAGAAAGAGAGTCTCAGGTTGTCCCAGTGTCCCTAAATTTGGCAGATTGGAGGTCATGTAAGTATACACTTGCAGTTCTTTCACTCTAAGATGTCCCTCTCTATGTCATTCTCCAGTTCACTACCACCATTCAAATATTCCTAATATATATTAGTATATGGCATGCTTTCCAGAATCTACAAGTTTTCATATTCAGATGAAACACGATAACTACAACCTATGCAGAGATTCAATTCACTCTGAGGACTGAGAAGAGGCCTATCAGGCAAATCTTGATTTTGACACTGAGTAACTCTGGAAACTGGAGCTTTGTTTACTCAAAACAAAGTTTAGACACACAGACAACTGTGGTTTTCACTTGGCTGGCTTAAGTAACACTATGGGTGAAGTCTTAATATAGGCTGTCCTAATCTAGGAGATGCTCACTGCACTATTATTTATTCAATTATCTGGCTCAGGTGTCCACACCACACTGCAGAGCAGCGAGAGCCACACGGCGTAAGCGTGGCCCTGAGATCACTGCCTGGCAATGGAGCTGACAGCGTGATGAACCCCGTGACATGCATGATGTAAGAACTTGATTCATGAGTCCTTGCACAGTCTCTAAAGCCTGGCGTGCACGTCAGCTCGTGGGGGTGGAACAAACACAGTAGTGAGCTTCCATGTGAGCAGAGAAAGGAAACTGCAGGATGAAGAATTCAGTACAAGGTTGAAGCGAGATGAGAGAAACCATCAGGGAGGTAAGTGCACTGCTCCAAGGTTAGGCATGCATCTGAGTGAACAAGCAAAAACCTGCCTCTCCTGCCAGCAAAGGAATTCTCCACCCTTTAGAAAAAAAAGAAAAAGAAAAGAGCATTATTCCCAAGTAACAGACTCCATGGAAAGAAAGAAATGAAAGGGAGTGCCAAAGCATCAATTTATTTATTCATCGAGGAAGGAAAGTCTGAATAGGTCACACCAGCAAGGCAGCAAAAGCACATCTGTTCAAATACAACTGTTTCCAACATATGTTTCTGACTGAATCAGTTCAGATAGTCTTGCTATTTTAATACAGATTTTATAGCTTTACATCAGATGAACTACACATTCACACCTGGGTTTTCCCAAAAAAGGAAAAGCTGACTGACATCTTGTTAGAACACAGACTACACACCTTGGAACACAGTGAAAATTTTTCACACTACGTTGCACTATTCAACTGCTCTTCATCCAGGGAAATGGTACCTTCCACTCTTCACAAAAGTACATCCAGGTGTCTCAACACAGCGATAAATCTGCCCTCTCAAGCACTAGTGATAGAAAACCCAGGTTCTAGGGATGCCAACCTTTCATAGTCCAATCTGAATGAGAAACTTAGTCCAGCTCCTGGACAGGTTTTGGCATTTCAAAACACTCCAACTTCCAAGAGCTTTCTATCTCGTCTGGGAGTGGGGCAGCAAGATTCACACAAGTGAGAAATAATTGGGGAAAAAACCCACATGGAACAGATCATTACTGATTCCAACACTGAGTTAACAACTTTGGGGGTAGAGGATTTCCCTAGAACACGTGGAATCAAAATTCATGTGCTTCCCTAGAGTTAAACTAGGGGATAAAAGTCACCCCAGGCAGATTCCCTGCTCATTTATATTTAGCTCTTCCAATGAAAGCCTCTTTGAGACATTCATATAATTTTATAATTTAGATGGGAAGGAACCTTGAGGTCTCTATTCCAGCCTCCTGCTCAGTGCAGAGTCAACTTAAAAGTCAGATTAGGCTGCTCAGGGTTTTGTTCAGTCAAGTTCTGCTCTCACATGAAGTACTCACTGAGTCAGCCAGAGAGAGGATGACACCTTACCCAGCCTCGGCGAGTCAGGATGGGGCAATACACTCCAGTGCTTGAACACTCTCACTGCAGAATAATTTCCCTAATAGCTAATCAAGTTTCTCTTGCTGTAATTTATGGCCATTACTCCTTGTCCTTTCTCTGTGCATCTCCAAGAAGTCTGTTTTCTTTACAGCTCCTCAGTAGGTAGATGGAGGTAACAGTCAGATCTGCCCCCACCACCTTTGCCTGCTCTTCCTCAAGGCTAAACAAGCCCTGCTGCCTCACTTTCTCAAGTGCTCTAGTCCCTCAGCTGCCATGGTGGCACTCTGAGGGAATTTGTCCAGTCTGTCAACACCTTTCTTGTACTAGGTGGCCCTAACCTGGATTCAGATGCAGCACCAGTATTCAAACAGTTACAACAAAATAGTATTTGGTGACATTTGGGATACTTTCTTGAAATGTTCAAAGTTTTCTTAAGCTGTAACATCCTCTGCTGCAACCTGACTCATGGACATTAAAACCAAGTTTTAAAGTCAGACAACAATAAAACTCTGCAATTTTTCACTTAGTGAAAAAACTGTGTTAAGGAGCCCAAACAGTTAAGAAATTTACACTGAACTTGTCAGATGTCTTCAGCTGATAAAAATTACACAGCTTTTAAATATGTGACATCATTTCATTTCAGAAATGTCAAAACAAGTAGTTCCAACATTTATAAGAAGTGTAATTTGGGACAACTCTTTATAAAAGCCAAGAAGACAAAAGGCTGCAGGTTCACAGCACTGTGTAGGGAGAAGAGAAACTCATTCAGAAGAGCAGTTGAGGAAGGGATAATACTGGGGTTCAAAGCATTCTGCTGCTACAAGCCCCTGAGCTCCTAGCAGCCAGAGAGCACCTTCCACACTGGCATCACACTGGCTTTCTCCTTTTGCTGTCATCCCTATTAGTGGGCTGAAGCACTCACCAAGTCAGACAGAGGGACACTGTAACTACCTGATGAGGGTTTTCTAATGGAGACATCTTCCAAAAAACTTGATTCCCATCTGGCTAACAAACTACTTTAAAAAACCATGGGATTTCTAAATTAAACTGTGACAATAGGAGTGCTACAAGACAACCCACAGCCTTGCAGCATGGCAGTTGGTCAGCATTCTTCCCTACAAGCTGAAACACATCTGCTCAAATCTCCTTAGGCTAAGAAATGATCAGTGAACAGGTCCTAGATATCCCCAGTAAATCCATCAACAAAGGGACTACTGAGTCTAAACTGGAGCCTCATCTTCCAGTGATTTTGAGAATCTCTGAGCAGTCCCCCAAAATTATACAACCCACTTTGGGTTGCATGAGATGTCATCTACAAATATCAAGGAATTTTTTTTTTTTTCATTTCATCAGGAAAATAAAACAACATGAAAAATATTTTCGTTTATTCCAATGACTTGGAATCTTAATTTTTTGGTTGTCAAGATGAAAGAATCAGTTACACACTCCATGCATATTGGTTGTTGATACAGACAAAGCTCCTAGGAAGACTTGTATCAGCACTAGTGTGGCCAGCAGGACTAGGGCAGAGATCGTCCCCTTGGACTCAGCACTGATGAGGCTGCACCTTTAATATCGGCTTCAGTTTTGGGGCCCTCACTCCAAGAATCATAGAATCATAGAATCATAGGGGTTGGAAGGGACCTCGAAAGATCATCTAGTCCAACCCCCCTGCCAGAGCAGGGTCACCTAGAGTACATCACACAGGAAGGCGTCCAGGTGGGTTTTGAATGACTCCAGTGAACGAGAAGAAGGACATTGAGGTGCTGGAGCGTGTCCAGAGAAGGGCAACAAAGCTGGTGAAGGGTCTAAAGTATGTTGTGTAAGGAAAAGCTGAGGATCCTGGGGTTGTTCTGAATGGAGAACAGAAAGCTCAGGGGACACATTCTCACTCTCCACATCTCCCTAAAAGGAGGTTGTACCATGGTGGGGGGTTGGTCTTTTCTCCCATGGATCAAGCAACAGAACAAGAGGAAATGGCCTCAAGTTGCACCAGGGGAGGTTTAGGTTGGATATTAGGAAAAATGTCTTCCCCAAAAGTGCTGTCAAGCCCTGGACCAGGCAGCCCAGGGCAGTGGTGGAGTCCTCATCCCTGGAGGAATTGAAATGCTGTGGAGATGTGGTGCTGAGGGACATGGTTTAGTGGTGATCTGGCAGTGCTGGGTTAAGGATTGGACTCAATGATCTTAAATGTCTCTTCCAGTCAAGACAATTCTATGATTTTATGATTCTGTAAGATCACCTGGACACTGAGCTGTCCTTACCCTGTGAGGCATTTTGAAACAACTCCACCAGTAGACACGTTCCACTGACTCACTGAACTGCCAGACAGCTGCCTCTGTACATCTCTTACACACTGACAGTTGTACACATAGAATTTGCTGTGAATTATAGCCTCTGAATTTTCATGACACTTGAATGATTTCTTTCTCAACCCTCACAAAGTAAAACTGAAGAAAAACAAAAAAACCCTTACCACGTGGATCCTGAAAGACCAGCAATGTAAGTAGCACAGTCTAAAATTCCTGACTCATAAAGTGCTTTCATGACTCCAGCAAACCCCACCATGGCACGAAATCCACCTCCTGAACCCAGTACTGCTATGACTGGTACCTGCAGAGATGAGAAGAACAGTGTATCACCACATCAATCCTGATAAAGGCTTGAAAGCAGCAAATGAACATCATTCATCAATAACTTGCCCAACGTATCAGCCTTGTGCAACTAACAGGTCAACATCCAGAGTTCCTCACAGCAGAGAAGCCTGTGCTTGTCCAAACCTGTGCACAAAAGTTCTAAGAAGCCAAAAAGAAGCTATTCTTCTGCCTTTTGGTGGTGTGTGTGCAAGAGAACGGCAAAATCACAGAATCACAGACAGGCAGGGGTTGGAAGGGACCTCTGGAGATCATCTAGTCCAGGCCCCCTGCTAACACAGGGTCACCCAGAGCAGGTTGCCCAGGATCAATTTGGAATCTCTCCAGAGAAGGAGACCCCACAAGCTCTCTGGGCAGCCTGTTCCAGTGCTTCATCATCTTCAAAATACTTCAGTAAAGCACTTTGAGATAGGACTTTTAAACATTGTACATAGAATAGAACAGTAACCTAGTCCCACCCATGATGTTACCTGCTCCCTTACGTTCTCTGGGCCCAGGAGTGATGTACAGAATCTGTATGTCATTTACTCAGCCCATTCTGCTTCACAAAGAGCTGGATGGCTGGAGTACTTTTGGACTGCAGCACAGGAGGAGAGAAAGCATGGCCAATCACAAGGAAGGGAAGCCAGGAGCCAGCCAGCAGCCTGAGAGGTTCTGCCTAGGTGGGGAACTCACAGAGGGGCAAAGCAAACTTCCTCCCAGCTTCCTATTTATCTTCTACCTAGAGACCATTAGTGACCAGGAAGTCCAAAGAGATGGCAGGTACCAAAGCACCTGGGACATGAAGAGAACATGCAGGGATGTAAAGGGAAGCTAAATGTGCCTGGGTAGCCATGCAGGCAAGAGGAAGACATGACTGAGGCAACACAAGGGCAGGAGGAAACCAGAATGCCCAGGAGAGGGGGAGCTGCAGTCTTGCTATTTCTGGCCATGAGAGAAGTCTCCCCTTCCACCTGCCTCAGTTCAGAGCCCTGGTGACAATGAAGGAACAAATGCTCTCAGGAAGGATTTTGGACAAGATATCACCAGTCACTGGACAAGAAACAGTGCTACAAAGTGACAAGTGACAGTAGCTGATGGCTCACTGTTGTTTAAAGAGGTTTGCTGCTTGCCCAGACTCCAGACCCATGACAGCATGGAGAAATGGCTGAGTCTCACCTGGCCTTCCAGATGCTGCTCCTCACTGCTCATCTACATGAGCAACAGTGATACAAGCAGGGGAGATCCTGGGCAGATGGGAGGTGTTTTGCCCCCTCTTGGAGCAAGCATGAGGGGCACAGGCACCCACAGCTGTAGCCTGTGGACTTGAACTTTCTAGTCTGAAAGAGGAATGGCCCAAGCAGATGCTATCAGGCTCAGGTGGTGTCACTAGTGAGGCTCTTGGCTTCTTGACCATGAAGCCTTGCTTGCTGATGAAGATGGTCCACGGGAAAATAAAGAAACCATCTGACCAACAGAGTGAGCAACACCTTCAGGAACAGACTCGCTCATTTAATACAGAAGATTTTAGACTAACTTCAGTGATGGGGACCTAAGTGAGCAGAGGGTGCAGATGTTGCACATGCAGGAGGACACATGGGAGAAAGTAAGTAGTGAGACCTGCATGTTCCTGCTCAACAGGAAGAGTGTTCAGAGGCTTACCTCAAATGTCCCTATATTAATGCAGAAAGATATCAAACAAGAAAAACTGAAAGTTCAAGTGGCCTTGATGACAGTTTGCTAATGTAAATGTTGGAAGGGCTGACTAATGCTGTACTTCCCCTGCTGTTCACAAACCAAGAACCAGGGGCAAACGTGGCCACAGGGAGCTGCTTGAGCTACACTGCTCTCAAAGTGATGGAGTGCAGGGTCACGCCAAGGCAATATATATAGTGAAAGTCAAATACCAGCACTATGACCCTCCTTAGCTTCCTGTCTGCTGGAATAATGTATAGAATCTCAAGTCCAGTTCACACACACAGATTCGTGGTGCTGCTTTGGACCTTTAAATACAACCAATAAGGCTAAAAACTGGGTGAATGAATCACGTCTGGTCTCAGCATTAGGAAGTTGTCACCCCTGCAATGCTCCATTACTGAGAACTCTAATTGCCTGGTACCAGAAGAATAAGAATTTATTTTAAGAAGTCACCACTTGTAGCAAGACTTTTAAGTAAAAATACACTCAGGATTTTTTTTAAAATGGCTGTCCTTCTTATCCATAATCCAAAATAAAGACGATATTAAATTTAGTTATTAAATAAACTATTTAGTTACAAGACCACAGATATTTTTTAAGCAATCCAAACACCAGCCTTAATCCAAATTATATCTTTGTGACAGAGCCAAAAGCAGTAAAGGTTACTAATCAGAAGCAGAAGAGAGACAAATAATATTTTGGCTAGGAGTTTAAAAACACATTTTATAATAAAAACGTGATATTACTACGAGCATGAAAAGAGTCTCAAATTTACAGCTATCTTGCATAAACTGCAGGAGAGGTAAGGAGAATTTAAGTGTACACCTACTCAGCTACCACTGGATAGCAAAGTGAGCAAAAGCAGACCCAGTTCCAAGTGACACCATATTGAAAATGTATCTACAGGGCGTTTATTTTATACTTGTTCCCTTCTTAATTCCCAGCCCTGACTTCAAAGCTGTTCCCTTCCACTGCATTGTTTGCCCAAGTATCTAGAAAGAAGACAAAATAAAATAAAAATGTGCTTGCCACCACCATTTACTGTTTCAGACTAAGTAAAGGCCCCAACTGGTTTCCAGTTTCCAAAACCTGGAAGAATTTTCCACTGTTCACTGGTGACAAGGTAACAAGCTCCTGGTTGTTACTAAGCATAAAAAGAATTACACAGTTGTGCAGAAAGCCCCTATCTGATCAAACTGGTAATCAGTCAAAAATTTCACTGAAAGGCAATTTAAGGTGCCAATAGATGGAATTACTTATAAGCAAAGGACCCATGTGACTAGCGAGCTCAGTCCCTTTCTGCCAGCTCCACACTCCAAGCCACGAAACTCCCCAGTGGACTGAAAACACCCAGTCACGTGGAAATGACCACACTTGGTGACCAAGGAAGTTGAGACATTTCTCGAGGCTTCCACTCCACTAAAACTGCCCATTCTTGATGCAGTAAGGTTATTTGATTCTCTTCTCCAGAAGTGTTAAGCTTTAGTAAGAGAAACCACAGGTATTTACTGGGATCAGCATTTGTCACGCACCTCCAAAGATAGCTATCTATCCAAAAAATTACACAACAAAGGTGAAGATTTAGGACATGTCTGTTTTGTTAAGGCAACACCCCAATAACGGAGCAGTTGCTTTGAACAGAGGAGCCGTATTACTAATCACCAATTTAATCATGTACATTAGGCTCTGAAAGCTCTTTACAAACACTACCTAATTAATCTACACAGACAAATCCCAACAGGATGAGGATGGTGGTTTGCAGGTGCAAGCCTGGAAAAGGTATGTGAGAACTCTTCCAAAGCACCACTACTCAACAAATCTATTCATCAGTGAAGTGGCATGAGCACAAGGGAAAATCTGAGTTTTCTTCAGGATGCAGAGAAATCCGTGAGGAGGATCAACAAAGAATGTGGAGGAGTGTCACCAGCCTCCTGATGGCAAATGCTTCCTGAAGACTTAATCCACAGGCATTTGGGGAATCATAGATTCCTGTACTGGGGGAGGGTGGGGATACTGAGAGGTAGGTGGATGTAAAGGATCTCTTCATTTCCAATTGATACCAATGCAAAGTATGAGAAGCTGCCATCACTTCTTTATTTCCAGAACTGAAATTCAACTACAGAGATCTAGAGCTGAGGGCAGCAGCTTAAGAAAGCTTCTCCACAGTAAATAAAGCTTTTAAATGACCAAAAAAAAGTAACTGAAGAGAAGGATCTACTGCACATTTACATGCATTTATGTCAGCTAACTGAATACAAGTGGACTCATAAGCATAAGCCAGGTGACAAAGGTTAAGAGTCCTTTCCTGCTTCACAGAGGAAGTCAGAGCACATTTCCATAGGTTTGTTAAAGCAGCTTTTTAGCTGCAATTCAGTTTCCAGCAAGTTTAGGGGCAAGAAGTAGTAAAACCTGAGATTATATACACCAGTCTTACAAAATGCCCTCCAGGATAAATAGGGCAGAAGTAGAAGGAAAATAGCTGCAGACCTAGTACAAAGGGAAAAGAACCAAGAAGTCACGTCAATTGAGAAAGAATGAAGACAGGCTACACCAAGGTGTGCACACTTCTCCATGGACACAGGCTGAACCCCAAGTCCTTTGAGACACTCTGAACCCCAAGTCCTTTGTACATCAGCTAAACTGGGAGCAGAGGCACTAAACCCATTCAAGTTGATTAATAACCTTAGAACAAAACGGTAAGTGAGTCACAGGAAAACAACGCAGTGAGTCCATGGCAGAAATGTGAATTGAATTCAAAAGTCTTGGAGACAAAGCCCCCTGCTCTAATCCCTGGCCACACCAGACAGCCAATTCTCTATTTTTGTGTCCACAGGGCCATGCCAGCACGGCTTTCCTTTTCCTACAGTTGGCCTGCACAGCACAACACTGAGCTGATTTAGAACAAGCCAGCTTAGGTATCAATCAACCCAACTCCACCAACCAAGATTTAACAACACTGGTGAAGCGTTTTGTCAATCCACCTGTCCTGTTTCTAGGATCTATGGGGCATTGCACCACTTGTGTGCTCATCACCATCCAGCCCTGCTTCAATCAACAGGCACCTCATCTCACCAAGTGCTGGCTGTGTAATCACCAAACTGAGAAGAAAAATTAGAAAGATTTGGGAAACAAGATAAGTTTTAAGAAAAGCGAGCTCTGAAAAAGGCATCTCAATCATATTTTCCAGTAATCTGGTGGGTGGGGGAGAAGCTAAAACATATTAAATTTTGGTTTGGGAATGAGTGCTGCAGATCTTTTTATCCAAATGTCTGGAAACACATATCACAAAATCTGGACAAGAATACCTGTGGTGGAAAAAACAATCACCACTGGTTACACAGAGGATTACTAAATATTTGTTCTGCAAATCTAGTCTTAAAAGAACTATATGCTTTCTTTACTTGATTATGATGTTTTCAGAAAATTGTTTAAAGCAACAAAAATTATAAAAATAAACAGAGTAGTAACACAGGTATGAGAAATCTCATCCTCTGTGTTTTCAGACTGTGCCTCAAGATGAAGTAAGAAAATCTGGAAGTATTCACTTCCCCAGCCAAGGATGTATAATTATTTCACAGGTCTTCAAGTCTCACAGCATCCCTGCAAGGCACATGGGTTGCTAGTCACAGATAAAGAAACTTAGGTGAACTTTGAGTAAGTAAATGACTTGTTTAAGATTAAACAATGACTCATTATGTCTCCCGACTTCTGAGGCTATGTTAAGACTACAAACACCCTATAAATCCTCCTGCTATCTTCCATCTGTAGCAATAAAAGTAAAAATGACAGCCTAAAAAGACAAAACTACATTTTAATTTGAACAAAAAGGTTTTTTCATCACTTGAAGCAGCTAAAAATTCTGACAAGTCAGCTTAGAAATACACATTTGGCATAGGACAAAAAGGAGGCTCACATTAGCTCAGTGCTTCCTAGGGTTGATAAGCCTACAATTAAGAGATTATTGCCTGGTCTTGGAAGATGCAACTTAACTGATAAAGCATCAGTATTTGAGACAGTGAGGGATACCAACGGAAGATGATGACAAAGAGAACATGAAACCTTACCTAGCAGTTTCAGGAATTCATGCACACATACCACCTGCATAGACCTGATACTTGAGGCACTAAGTATCCCTCCAGTTCTAACTGGATGTTGGCAGAATATCTGCATCCTTTCTGAGAAAGATACTATTCTGCTGTAGAAGATCAGACCAGGATCATACTCACAAATACCTATTATGGTAAGATTTGCATGTTTTAAGATTAAAATAACCAAAAATTAAAAAAAAAACTTGAAGAGGTCCTCACAATATGAACAATTTATATCAGTAAAAATAAAATATGTACAATACTTGTCAAATTCTTTCATCTTCCTCAGAAAGGTCACACAAGCACATTTTATTATGCAAGACAGTTCAAGAGTACATGGCAATAACACCTGCTCAAAATGGCTTCAAAATGTAAGAGGGAATCTTCAGTGTTGGTTTCAGTTTCTGCAAAAGACCATTACACTCTGCTTACACTAAAAATGCAAAAAAGAAATCAGTATCAATGAATTAATCATCCCAGACAAATTCACTGACTCTGTTCAGCGCCTGACACCCCTCACACAGTCTTCCTGTCACAATGCTGGGGTCAGAACAGGAGAGGGAAAAAGTAAGAAGAAAGAGGAGGATGGAAAAACTACTACAAAACAAATGGATCCCTAAGTAACTCGAAATAGTACTGTGTTTTATGAAATCATTTCAAAGATCAGTCAGGCTCGGCACCGTTCCTCACTTGGAGGTGACCCAAAGCACCATCAGTTCATCCAGATCTGTTGGCTCAGCTTCCTGTTGGCTTGATTCAAAGCACCAGCAAATCAATGAAAGCTGCAGTTTCTCACATTCTCCAAGAAACAAACTTTATAATCCTAATCCTGTAAAATGGGCTAAAGGAAGACAAGAAAGGAAAGAAAGTAATTTCTAACACGACTCCACCCTTGAACCAGCTCATTTCCTGCCTAATCTTCTAGACACGCAGGCCATGCAGCCAAGGCCACGTTAAGAGCACAGGTTGGGTACCAGGCATGCAGGGGCAGGTCCTGCAGCTGGGCTCGTGCCCAGAGCCACCACACGCCTCTTGTGCAGCAGATACTTCACACACCCTGTGGGCATTTGTCAGATGACGATCTCAGCTCGGGACCAACACCTTAAGCGTGGAATTTAGAATCGGAGCAAAATGAAAAGCATGGATTGACCTCCTTTGCCCAATTTTAACCACGGGTTTTAACCCTGCTAAGAATTCAAACAAAAAAGAACCAGATAAAAGTAACAGCAGTTTGTTTAAGGTGTCAGTGCAAATGAAAAGCTGACTCCTGTCCCTCGACGGCATTTACACAGTACTGCCCCTTTGTACTTAATGGGCACATCTTATTTAGGTACAGCTTCATTTTGGCACAGGATTTTGTCTCCTAAAACTATAATCTATAAATTTAGAGCAGAAAAAAAAAAAATATTCTCCAGCCGAAATACTGTATGCGATTAGAGGAAAAAGAATTTATTCTTCTACCATGTCTTCCCACTGAACCCTTCTACCTCATAGGTCTCACTCATTCCTTTGAGACAAATACAAGGCTCCAAGGGTGATACTCATCTTGACGTGAGCTCTCCTAACTTACATCACGGGAAGTGGTCAAGTTCTTGCTGTTCTCCTCTCCCAGAAATGATTTCATACTGTGCATGATGTTCTCTTTCCGCTGCTGCCGAAATTTCTTCTCCTCATCACAGAGAGCCATGCTGAACC